TTCGATCACTGGAAAAGGTCAAAAGGTCCTTGACTCTTATGTAAGTACAAGAAGAAATTGCCTCTTCTTTTTATCTCCTGCCACCTATGTCAAGGAAGATAACGTTTTTGGCCTAAAATTTCGATAGTAAGTTTTTAGTAAAGAAGCACGAATTAGGGTCCCACAAGCGTTTTTACTCTTTCACAATGATGATTTTCTGTCTTTGACGATTTTTTTTATCCACTATGATATCAATTTTCCAAAAATTTCTGTTTTCCCTATTTAAGCTTTCTGCATTCATATAAAGAGTTGATAACATTTTAGGTACAACTAGGCAAACGGAAGTTGTACTTTACTTGAAGCTCATTGCAGTTTTTAATGGGCAAGTGGAAGTGATACATTACTTGAAGCCCATAACAGTTTTTATTGAAAGATTATATTAAAATATAACACAAAACTTTTAAATTTAAGTTTTAAGTCAATGGTAAAAGGATAGTAGATTTTGGCTGAAATTTATAAGCCAGATGTCATACTTTACTTGAACAGATTTTGGTGAAAAAATATATTAGGATGTAGTCCAAAACTTCTCAAATTTGGTATTTAAAACTCTTATATACACATACAATGTATATACCATCATGACTGAGAATAATATATCTGATTTTGATTATATATGATAACCCGAAAGTTGCACTTTACTTGAACTCTCAACATATTTTCGTGGAACAATTAAAATTCCTTACAATAAGAGTTTAATGCAGCGTATATTAAGAATATTTTGATTCTATCGAGATATGATATTTATTTATATCAAGCGGCAGAAGAGAATGATTTTTATAACAGCGTTTCATTCTCAGAACTTCAAAACTCTAACAATGGAAGCACGTTGCCAAAAAGTGCGCTTATTATTATCTTGCCCTGTTGATGATGACGAGGCACAAGAGCAAATAGAAAATTCAGAAATACTTATTTCTTTCCTTCTTACAGATCCCAGAACGTACGATAGTCGGGCCCACCAATGGCAGAGCGGTAAAGTTGCTGAACATGGGCGTTTTCGTGATGGTTTCGCCTATATGTAATGTGTATACGAGCTAGTTTTCTTTAAAAAATTCCTCCATGAAGGCATCTTTCCCCTAAGGCAGATAGCAGTCGAGTACTTTGCCATAATCAAATAAACCAAACGAAAACAACGTAAAATAGTCACTAATTAGCTGTAATTCCAAAAACTAACGAGCATTGTTAACTGATAGCTAAATATCTTGGAAATATAGTACATGCAGATCAAAATGAACTAAGGTTTGTTGATATTATAAAAATAACAAAGAAGCAAATCAAATCATGACATTCATTTCTTTTTTTATTTAAAATATATTTTAGGTAAAGAGTATTTATTTTAGATATATTATAAAAAGTTAATTTCTTTCATTAAAAACTAGTTAAATTATATGTTATTCAACGGACCAATAAAATAAATTTCCAATAAAAAAATAAAGATTTAAAATTTGATTATGTTGCTATAAATATAGATAAGCCAGTTTTAGCACATGGCCCAGCTTATATCTAATAAGATACAATCAAAATTTTCGTATGACAAGTTTCTATTTATTTCTGTTTATTTTATATACCTTTCTATTTATTGGGACAATAAATTAGATTTTGTTTACGAATGAAGCAACCGGAAGTGATACTTTACTTTATCTCATTTCTATTTAAAATATAGAATTGGAGGAAGGTTATATGCTGGAAACATCAGACTTTTTAGGTCTCATGCTGTTCTATAGGACATCACTTTTTTTATTAATATGTACTTAAAATATATTGAACCTGCATGTAAATTTTCTAATCTATAAAAAAGGATGGGAAATATTCCCATAAGAAATTATAATATAATCCCATAAAAGTATATTCTAACCAATTCTTATTAATTTCTTAATTATCCTTTCTTTTCTGACTTCAGTTTCCTGCCAGAATGTAAATTTTTAATGACGTAGTATGAAAATCTAAGTGAGTTCAAAATCAGTATATAAACGGCGGTTTTAAGAGTTCGGTAGGAGAGTTAATTCTGAATTTATGCCCCGTATTTGAAGTAGCCTTGTACGTAAATAATTGGAGCTTAGCCACTCTCGTTAGATTATATTGATATTCTAGGTTCAGCTTTGCTGCGTGCAGCCGATTTAGGGGTTTAGATAAATAAGGAGCCAGCCATGTAGTATTGCGATTTTACATCTTAGTCTTCTATTAAGTTACTTAGCCATATGTGGTGGTAGACTGTGAGCAACGAGCGAGTTCAGTCTTTGTTAAGTTCAGATAAAAAGGTTAAGCGTTCTAGCGAGAATTCGCTACTTAGTCTTTTTTTCAGCTAGGGCCTATAGTGTATGATTCCAAAACATACAAGAAAGAAGCTACAAAGTCATACAAATTTCGAAGCAATTCAAGAGTGAAAACCTAAATTAATGGCTCAGAATTACTAACAGAGTAATTAATTAGCAGAATGTCTGGCTCTATATATAAATTAAAGATACTTTAGAGCAATTGTGTGGAAAATAGGTGTTTCAGAAATGTGACAAAAGGAAGTTAAGCATTCCAAAGAATGTTCGAAATAGGAAGATTGTTATTATTTAGGGAGTACATTCAAATTGTTCGTGACTATCAACTTAAAAACAATGCACTACGATCTGAAACATTAACCCAAGAAGAGTTTAAAACTGCATATGCTTTTACACCTAAGACCAAAAGATAATACGCAGCTGGACTCGTAAGTTGCCTAAGTACGTTTATTCCCTCTAAAATGTGCCTGCCTACAAGGAATATGATATGGAATAGATTTAGACAATTGATAAAGGTCTAATCTAAGAAGCTAATTCTGTGCACTTGTCTTCAATTAAAGTAAAAAAAAAAATTGAAGATAGTTTTTTAAGTGTTTGAGGAGATTGCTGCATTCTCTGATGAAACCCTTTTTCCAAATAAACTGGGCTCAGAACTGGAAACATGAGATTTCTTAATTTATAAGGAGTATACTCATTTTAGAATATTTGCATTTACTTTTAAATATTCTGATAATGCTTTCCCAATAAGTGAACAACGTGAATGCGTACTTACAAAATTATATTTCTCTGAATTTGCAAAGCAGTTAGAACAAAAATGCGTTAATTTTTTTTCCTTTTAAAAGTACTATGATACAGATTTTGTAATTATAGTCATGCCTGGTGGACAGCTCTTCTCACAAAAGAGAATACAGGATGCCGGGTATAGAATGATGAATGTGGCTTTCCCCACCGGATAGCTTCTTTTAAAACTGATAGTAGAGCTGAGTGATTTCAGTGTATGCATGACTTCAGACAGCCCTAACATATGGTCTCAGATCTGGAGGGTTTGTTTGTTTGATCGATCAACTCAAAGCACTTGAAGACTTTCTTTGGGAAGGGATGGTTTCGTGGAAGATTTCTTAAAGGAAATTAACTTGATGTGAAGATATCTACAAAAAGCTCGTGCAACCAGCCGTTTCACTGGGTACCTGAATCGAAATACTTGTGCTTAACAGCCTAATCCACTGTGAAATTGATTCAAGTTCTCAGAAAACCATGATCTTGTAAATATTACGTAAACATTTCAATAAAATATTGTTCTGATATCTGTATATTTCTGTAAAAATGCTCCGATAACATATCGCATACTATGCATTTCTATGAAATAGCTTATCTTTCTGTGAAAGTTTATAATCTACCGTTCACTTATAGCAGCACGGGATCCCAATGTATTTGCTTCAAGGTTTTTTTTCCACGAAACGCAACAACATGTGTTCAAATAACGTCATTTGTGCAGCCCTCCTGCCTCTCAGCTATGGCGCACAGCTAGTAGACTTCGTCCTTCAAAGGACGAGAATAACTTAAGAACGATAGCAAGTCTGCTTTCCTCATAGGGGTTAGAGAAAGAGGGTGAGCCGTACAGCTCAATAAGTGGAAAATCTTGGCTTCCACTTTCGAAAGAGACACAGTTGAATTATCTTCAAAATTTTTTTGCTGTATGTAAAACTAATGACTTTACAATGGCACCCGAATTAAATATGATGGACACAATTCTCTACAATCTCGACTTGAAAAAATGATATTCGAATTTCCCCAGTGGCTTTTAAGTAAAGGTGGGTAAGAAATCAAAGCATTCCTCTTGTGTGTCGTTTTATTCTAAAGGTTAGCTCATCTAACCATCTAAGGAAGGTTCTGGATTAGATTTCTGGCTTGGACACCGGTGATATTTCAATATTTTCTGTCCAACCCGGGGCTAACAGCAGCTATTAGTGTAACCTAATAAATTTTAAACATCGAAATTAATTTTGTATTGCGGAGTCTATGTGTTCTTTTCGCGAGCATTCACAGTAGACCCTACGTGAAATACTGTGTAGCGAATTCTCGCTATGTATTAAAGAATAGTTACTACAGAAGAAGGTTCAAATAACTTTTTCATCTGAACTTACGTAGCAAGATACACGCACTCGCTGCTCACAATTCACCACCACTTGTGGATAAACTAAATTGAACAGAAAATAAAAATGTAAAATCACAATAAATTAGGATGCCTAAACGACTGCCTCCTTAGTTAGCTAAACGGCACAAAGCCTCTAAATCGGCTGCACACAGCAAATCTGAGCCTAGAATATCAATATAATCTGAAGAGGGTGGCTAACGCCGACTAAGAGAGCTATTTCAAACTCCGCAGCATAAGCTCGGAACTAACTCCGCTGCTCCTCCTCATGAACTCTTGAAACGCTGCTTAAATACTACTTACCCTTAGATTTTGCATACTAAGTCATTAAAATTTACATTTCGGCACGAAACTGAAATCAGGAGGGAAAAGAAAGTCAAACTAAAAATAATTGGTTAGAAAATTATTATAAAAATTAAAATAAGATCTTTACAATAAAACAGCTTAGGTTTTTATGACGCTTTTAGACCTGATAAAATTTTGTTTAGAGTTTATCTACAAAATCCAATACAATCTATAAAATCCTAAATTCTATTATATAGGTTTCAGGAACTATTTTCAGAAGTTATAGACTGTGCCTTTTGCATAAGTGGCAAAGGAATTGCGGGTGTCATCCTGTTTTTAGCGGCCAATTAGGAAGCCACCAAAATTTTGTGCTCAGAATGCGGTCTGGTAAACGGTTATTTTTATTTCTTTTGCTGAGTAAAGCTGCAGTTTTCGCGCGCTGTTTATATGTACTTAAAAATTATGTAAATATAGAAAAGCGTGCTTGTTTTCGTCTCCTTTTATCATATGTAGCAGCACAATTTTTAAATCTCAAAGTGTAACTGATAAATTAAATTTAGTGATCTTCATATTCAAACACATTTAAGAATTTTGCTTACATATTTTCGCTCTGGGTTCTACCCTACTGGTCAATTTTCATTTGTTAAAAATAAAAAATTTTTTTTCAAGGGAGAGTTACGCTGGTACTTATATTTCTAGGTTCCGTGATTAAGAGAGGTCTTATGATTTTTTAAGACAGATTCTTGTGTTAAAATTTAAAACACAATTGAACTAAAATTTTGTGTGCAATTTGAAATTTATCTCTGTAAAGAACATATAACTAGGCTGTTTTGACCTATAGAGTCTGTCTCTCTTGTTCCACATAAACTAGAATAGATCCTATAATGACCTGGTGAATTCTCGCACAGGCGTGAATAAAAACTGCTGACTCAGACGAAGGGTAAAAATAACCCTTTATTAATTCAAACTAGTTAACAAAAAGGCACGGACATCGTGCGTTTAAAAGACACCGTCAACTTGCGGCGGAAATTAAAACGTAGAATATAATACAAGTCAAACTTGAAATAAATGGTGCAAGATTGCACTTAAGTTACACCTAAGAAGTAGACTCACAGGAATCTAACCGGCATGATACTAATCTGATAAGGCCAAGAGGCTTACTAGCGTGATCGCGAAATAACAACGAAACGTGCGCTCTGAATAAACTGAGATATTCATACATTTAAATAGCACTTCACTTAACTTTAAATTTACATCCTGGCCAGAGAATGGGAGGGAAAGTTGAGAAGTCTAGAAACATTTAAAATATAGATAAATGAAACTAAATTTTTAAAACGATTAACTACTGAGTATTGAGAAGACTTGTAAAAATTAAACATAAACTTTAACCTAGATAATTATTTCCGCTTTTCGCATTAAGTCAAAATATTAATCAACTTCTAATTTCCGTGGTTTGGTACGCTACAATACTTGTCTGATCATTCCTCAGGCGTCGTTACTTCAAGCGTCATGTCAGGTTACACTATAATCAAAACCATTTATGAATTTAGAAGTAGCTGATTTCTTTTCAATTAGTACCGTTGAAATTAATATCTATGTCTCCATCATCCATTCACTTACCTTTTCAAACTCAGTCGTGTATTTTACCTTTAAGTTTAAAGCTGTGGTTACCGCCCTTTTTTTGTTTTGCTTTAAAGCTCTGACTTCTGTCTTTGCAGGTTTATTAACTGAGACATCAAGAAATTGTAAGAATGAATCTAAACCTTCGAGAATCGCAGGTTTATATGCTTTTCTTAGACAGTCTTTTCTTCCCTTCTCATTTTAAATTAGATTCCATCTAGAGTACTTAATTTTGTATTTTCTATGTGAAAATTACTCAGATTTGATTTTTTTTTCTTAAAAATAATTATGAGTCTATGAGTATGAAAATAAAATTGCACTGTATATGTTTAAATGCTCGAAATTTTTGCATTTCCTCATTCGAAATATATTAATTAAACTTTTATAACACTTATGTATCCTGAAGTTTGTAAGGATTATGTTAATTTTATTAACAGTTAAATTTTAAGTTAAACTTCCATTCCTATCGCTTCTTAATTTAAACTTACCATTTCCGGCCAGAACGTAGTTTTAGAATCACGTCTGAATGCTAATGAGGAAGAGCGGTATTTAATCGCAACAGCAGAACTTCGAGAGAGATATCAGATATTCTGGCTAGCACACGTTCGACTTTTTAGGCTACTCTCCCGTAAGCTATTATTATTGAAGCCCGAGTGTCGGCTTTATCGAACATCACGACGGAGTTCTGTTAAATCTTATTTGAATAATAAAGGGTCTTTTAACCCTTTCAAAATTTATTTACTGTCTCACGAACTCAAGCAATTATTCGCTTATTAGTTCTTAAGATTCTTCACATCCAACCCTAACTTAGAATTACACAGTGGAGAATCCTACAAGTTTTCAGTCAATTTTGATGACGATAGGTTCAATCTCTACACTAAAACATTAAAGAATCAAAGGGGGCTTTAAAATAAACTGATTTTTTTTAAGTGCACGAATGAATAAAATTTTTTCTAAATAACATTTTAAAAAATATAGAACTTGTAAGGAAATAAATTGAAAACTATATTCTTATTGAAGTTTTCATTTTATATCTAAGTCTTTCAAAGGTTTCATTAGTTTTAGGATGCAGAGAAAAGATTCTTGTAGAAATTGCTAAGTTCTCTCTTTAAAAATCCTGCCTTATATTTTAATTATTAAGGGATCTGTAGTCTTTCTTATCAGTATAATGTAATATGCATCAGCCTGTAATGTTGCGCGCTCCCAACCTGCACGCAACAATAGTGGTGACTGCTGTGAACTGGAAATTACACAAAGTCTTGAGAAGGGTTTAAATCCCTTTTTATTCAACTTTAGAAATTACAGATGCGTGCTCTTGACGCTCACAAACTACGCCGGCCCGGTGGTAAAATAAAAATAAGAAACTAAAAAATGAATAATAACAAGTGACTACCTACGAGGCTCTCTAAAACGTAACTAACCTAACCGCGTTCTAAGATACCGCTGACAATTCAGCAAACTTCTGAATATTACGTTGAAAGATTTAACTATCTATCGAGGCAAGCACACAGGCCGAAACGCGTGGTTCTTCAATTTCTAACTAGCCACCTCCACGCTCGTGAAGCAAGAAAGAAAGCACACTTTCGAACTCGTTTCCCTTCTATTTAAACTCAGATTACTTCCGCTGACAATTTTGAATATTTTGCGCGTTTCTACTAAAATTTTACATACCCTGGCATTGGCAATTCCAGGGGAAAGTAAGGCTTGACAGGAAAGATAGTTTTATTTAAACTTATTAAATAAATGTTAGTTTAAAAAACCCTACATTTGCCGCTGCCAGAATTTGGTAAACTTGGAAGCAGGTCCTAGAAAAAACGACGACTGTTGAAAAGTTTCCACAATTCTGAACTAAAGTTTAAGAGCCTCGTTTACACATAAAAAAACTGTTTTCTCACAAAAGGTAGGATAAAATTTCTGTAGATACTTATTTAACCCTCTCTTCTCTTACAGCAACCTTTCCTGGACTTCAGCAATCAATCTGTTCTCTTCCTTTCCAGCATCTGGAAGGAATAAGTATCAGTATCTTTCTAAATACATTTTAATTTACACTTTCTTGACACTGAATAAGTTTTTGTTTTTGATCGATTTATTTTCCTTAGTTACTGCTTAATTCACATTCATTCAAGTATTCAAACATGAATTTAACTTTACCCTGGCTCTCCACCATGTGTGGTGTCAAACGGGAATATTCGTGTTTTAGTATTGTAACACTTCCCCCAACCACAATGATTTGTTAGAATTCAACGACCAAATACACACACCTTACTCGACACTCTAAAACTCGATGAGCTATTTTAACATTCTTAAAATTCAAGTGCAGGTGGAGAACCCTACAAAACACATTCATTCTAAATTCCCCCTCATTCATCTTTAGACATGCAGGCTTTTGCTCTAAAGCATGATTTTATCTACAGTTTAATACTTAAATTTGAATTCATTGCTTTTGAGCATTTACTTTTAGCATCTAAAAATTTATGCTTCTAGACTAAATTCTACTTTTACATAACTTTGAAGTATTTACGTATATTTACAAAATTCTAATACATATGATTTTTACAATTTACCATAAAATGAATAAGAGAAAAATAAATTTTTACTTTACTCATTCTTCGCCAAGCTGGCGGCACTGAAACTAAAGTTCTTATTAATACAAGAATACGAAATTATTTTTATCTTCAGCCAAATTTTGGCTTTAACATAACAGAATTAGTCTTTCGACCAACAGAAACTGCTTGTTCTTAGATTTTATACTTAAAGAAAGAAAATAATACTTTTGCCTTAGCTAAATAAAGTAAAACAAAACTAAGTCTCAAACGAGACAAATTGACTTCCGTCAAAACATAGAACTTCGTATTTGCGCATAACATTTCGGAACAAAAGAAAAAAAATTATAGAAGATTTTAACTTATCTTTGAGTTTTCGATGATTGGAATACCGACATACTCTTCTGGCAGAACTGCTCCCATGATATGGAATTCATCGACGTCAGTCGTCTCCTTTGTGTCCTTCGAGTTTCGTCCATGTGGATATTTCTTTTTCGCCCTCTGCATGCTGGCCTCTTGGAGTGGTAGTCGCCGGGTTGCTGTCTTTTCCGTTTTGCCCTGGACGGCTGGACTTGGACGTCATCCAGTCTGGAATCATGCTTGAATTTCTTCTGTTGGTGGTGGTTTTCGTTCCTCCTGCTGTCTTTTCGTTTCGGGAAACGTCGCCGGAACGGCGGCCTTGTTTGCACCTGACACTCTGGCCCTGGGAAGCGTTCTCCTCGATGCAGAAATTTCTACTGCAATACGGTTTGTTGTAAGTGGTGTTTTCCTCTTTACCACAGCTTCTTTACGCGGCGGCGTTGCTTTCTTGTATTTCTTAAATGCTGGAGTCTGAACGTTTTCATTTCTTATTTTCGGTACCGTCGCATGACTTGTAGAAGGGCTAGGTTTCTCTTCAGTTCTCCGCTTCTTGGGTGGTGGAGCGGGTGGCGTTACTTCTGGACCTTCCACTTCTTTTACGCTTGAGTCCTGCAAGAAACTTTTAAGGATTTCAAAATCATTTTGATTATAATATTTTTTCACCTGGTCGGGACTTGCTTTACAAATTTCCCCTCTCTCGTTCTTAAGGTACAATACGACTCCCTTTATTTCCTGAATTACATAGGGGCCTTCAAATTTTGGAACTAACTTTGCAGTAAAATTGTCTGGGGCACTTGATAAAGAAAATTTCCGCTTCAACACTTTATCCCCAACTTTAAAATCTGCTTCACGGCGTTTTCTATCATAGTATAAGTTTTGTCTATTTCTTGCCGTATCCGAAGCTTTTAACCGCCTGGTCAATGAGTTTTTTGCACCTTTCTTTTGTTTAAAATTCTTGCTCTCTTTGTTGCACAAAGAATAATTTATCTAATGGCGTAATTAACTTCCGTCCTAAAAATAATTCTGCTGGAGTTTTTGCCTGTAGTATCGTGATTTTGCCGTTCTTAAAGCATAAGCTAACTCATTTATGTAGCCATCCCAGCGCTTGTGATGTGTGCTAACATAACTTCGAATTATTTTACAATATTTTTATTAACTCTTTCTGCGATGTTTTCCTGTGGTCTATACGGAACCATTTTGATATGGCGTATGCCAAGTCCAGTGCAAATGTTTTCAAATATTTGGCTAACGAATTGTTTACCGTTATCGCTAATGACTTTTATCGGTGCACCGTATTTTAAAATGTATCTGTGTAAGAATGCATCTGCGACTGTTTTGGCTGACGCGCGTTTAAGTGGAACAATTTCTGTCCATTTTGAAAAATGATCTACAATTACTAAAAGAAAACGATTTTTATTTAACTCACTCTGAGGGAAAGGACCAAGAAGATCTATGCCTAAAATTTCATTCGGAAATGTAGCGCGAATGCTATTTAAGTACCCGGCCGGGCTGTAATTAATATCATTTATTAATTGACATTGATTGCAGGACCTAACATACGCAGTTACTATTTTGTATAATTGCGGGAAATATACCGCCTCGCGTACCCTTTTTAAAGTGTTTCTGACCCCTAAATGACCCGCTGTTTTCGCGTCGTGTAATTCCTCAAAATGCTTATTCGAAGCGAGGCTGGGATGACTGGTTTATATTCGAAATTTTCGTTTGTTGCTTTCGTATAAAACAGTAAATTATCTATTATTTCATAGTCTTCTGCTCTACTTCTTATTGCATCGATATCTGTGTGTTCAAAGCTTTCGGGGGTCTTTCAAATACGCATAGATACTTCCAAATTCAGGATCAGCTTTCAATTCAGCAATAATTGTTTCTCTAGAATTGTTTCTGTAAAATTTTTGAAGTCAACACAGCGAATTTGAGTTCATTGCCTTCATCGTCCAGTTTTATTCGAGATAGTGCGTCAGCAGCATTGTTTTCCTTACCCGGTTTATATTTAATTATTAGGTTATACTCTTGAATTTTTAAAGCCCATCTTATTAACCTGGGCGTTATTTTTTTCCCCGAGTAAAGTCTACCAACAGCCACATGATCTGAAAAGACTGTTACTGGCGCTTTGCCGAAATAAACTCGAAATTTGTGTACACCCATTAATACGGCTAATGTTTCTCTCTCTGTAGCTGTATAATTCCTTTGCGTAGGGTTCAACGTTTTACTAAAAAATGCCAAAGGATGGCCATTTTTCATGAAAACAGCACCTACAGTATAGTCCGACGCATCTGCTGCAATTTCCAGGTTTTCGTCCCCCTCCGGGAATTTCAAAACAGGGGCATTGCTGAGCGCTTCTTTTAACCTTTCAAATGCGGTATTTGCTTCTGCTGTCCACGTGAATTTACTTTTCTTTCTTTTAATTACTAAAAAGGGTTCAACAATATTAGCAAAATCTTTTATGAATGACCGATAATAAGAACATAACCCAAGGAAAGAAGAAAGTTTCTTGGCGGTGTTGGGAGGCGGTGGGAAATTCTTGATGGCTTTTATTTTTGAATCTTCAGTTTCTATACCCTTTTGCGAAATTTTATAACCCAGATATTTAAGTTCTTTAGTTGCGAACTTGCATTTTGAGGCGTTAATTGTAAGACCGGCCTCTTTTAATAATTTAAAAACTTCTTCTAGGTCTTTAATATGTTGTTCCAAGGTACTTCTCGTTATAATTATATCATCTAGATAGATTAAAGTCGATTTTCCTAGGACAGGCTTTAGAACAATGTCCATAGCTCTCTGGAATGTTGACGGGGGCCCCACACAAACCCAAAGGGCATGCGTAAAAATGCATAAGTGCCCGATTTTGTTATAAACGCGGTTTTATGTATGTCTTCGTGTCTCATAGCTATTTGATAGTAGCCAGACGTTAAGTCCAACGTAGTCATGTATTTTGTAGATTTAATCTTTCTAATAATTTCTCTATAACCGGCAAAGGGTAAACTGGGAATTTAGTAACACTATTAAGTTTCCTGTAATCTATAGCAAACCTCCATGCCCTTTTATCCGAAGGAGGAAACTCGTTCGTTTTCCTACATAGTACGACTGGACTCGCGTACTCACTATTTATGGGCGTTATTATTTGGTTCTTTAACATTTCCTGAATATGTTCTTCTATGATTTGCTCTTTCTGTTTATCATAGCGGTAAGGTTTAGTCCTACAGGGTTTGTCGGCAGTTAGTTAACTGTATCTCATGCGTAACTATTTGACAACTACCAGGCCGTTCTGAAAACAAGTTTGAAAAAGTACTCTCCACTTGCTGGATGGCTTGGCTTTCATGGTCATTCAAATGGCTAAGGTCGACTTGCGGTTGTTCCACTGGTTCCACCACCCTCCGATCCATCTCCAGCACGATAGAACTTTCCTGAAAATTCATTTTGGCCTTCGCGGCTTTTAAAAACTCCATACCTAAAATGAGTGGACTTTGCAAGTATTTTACTATAAAAATTAATACTTTAAGGCTTTCGTTTTGAACCTGTATTTTTAAAGATAGTTTTCCAATGCAATGACAAGTTTGTCCTTGCTCTGCTATGATTTCTGTGTTTTTATTTTTAAATAATCGTAACCTATAAAAATTCTTTTTGAAGAATGTTTCGCTTATAAAATTACCTTCTGCTCCTGTATCGATGAGGGCTTCTACTGGTACATCGCCAACCAGGACTTGTATAATTGGTAGATGTGAGTTCTTTACGATGACCGTATTTAAGTGTCTTTTTGAGGGTTTTTTTAAATCTTCCGGGGTCTGGACCCTCGCTTTCACAGGCCCCTCTACTCGTTTAAAGTTTTCCTTTCAACTTCTGCCTTCTGGGTACGCGGACGTTTGTTTTCGAATTTCCTTTTTGGGCCTTGAACTTCGAGGTTCGATGAGTTAGCTTGATAGCTCTTTTCCCCATAAGAGCGGTTTGCATTTCTGGTCTGCTCATTTGAAGATTGCCTTCGGGTACTTTGAGAATACGATGCCCCTCTAGCTTTTTCCGCTATTCTGCGATTTTGAAACTTCACCACCAATTCGAAGAGCTCCTGCAATGTGCTTGGGTTTCTAATTTCGAAGTAGTCTTGAACAGCGGGTAACAATCTTGGTAAGATTATTTCAATAATCTCCCTCGTCGGGTTTCGGTTTCTTCCCATACAGCATATCCGTCAGCTTCTTAATTTTTCGCAGAATAAATAAAGTCCGTCAACTGTTCTACATCCCGTTGATAAAAACTATATAGTTCGGCTTCTAGCCTTGCTCGGTCTTTCACTATGGGGAAGGCCTTTAATAACGATTTTTTGAAATTTTCAAATGTATATGTCTGGCCTCCGAATTCCCCTAATAAAAAATTTGCCTATATTCTTCCACCATAGCGAGGCCTGTCCTGTCCTCTTAGTGCAGATGTGGCGATGGCAACTTTTTGTCCTTTCAGGCACAGGGTAGGGGTAGAGCTGGAAGTGATTTTCGAGGCCTTCTAGAAATATCGCCACCGAATTTTTTCCGTCGAAATTGACGTTTGGCTTGATTGACGCTCTCATCGTCTGGACCAGGTATCCAAATCCTCCCAATTGGCTTGCCATTTCTGTTGTTGTTGTCCAGCAGCTTCCATCCAATTTTCGACCATTTCAGTTCGACAAGTGTTCGGGCGCCAATGTAATGTTGCGCGCTCCCAACCTGCACGCAACAATAGTGGTGACTGCTATGAACTGGAAAATTACACAAAGTCTTGAGAAGGGTTTTTAAATCCCTTTTTATTCAACTTTAGAATTACAGAGATGCGTGCTCTTGACGCTCACAAAAACTACGCCGAACTGGCGGTAAATAAAATAAAAATAAGAAACTAAAAAATGAATAATAACAAGTGACTACCTAAGAGGCTCTCTAAAACGTAACTAACCTAACCGCGTTCTAAGATACCGCTGACAATTCAGCAAACTTCTGAATATTACGTTGAAAGATTTAACTATCTACCGAGGCAAGCACACAGGCCGAAACGCGTGGTTCTTCAATTTCTAACTAGCCACCTCCACGCTCGTGAAGCAAGAAAGCACACTTTCGAACTCGTTTCCCTTCTATTTAACTCAGATTACTTCCGCTGACAATTTTGAATACTTTGCGCGTTCTACTAAAATTTACATACTCTGGCATTGGCAATTCCAGGGGAAAGTAAGGCTTGACAGGAAAGATAGTTTAAACTTAAAATAAATGTTAGTTAAAATAAATATAAACCCTACAAGCCATTTGACAAAATTTCATTTACTGGAGTAGATGACATTTTGTGATAAGATAGTTAAGTCAACTCTCGACTTGAAACAGACTTCCGTTACCCACTTTCATTAAAAATTAAAGTAACATCCTACTTCTATGCATGAGAAGTCACAAAAGCCTAGGTTTATTATCTTGGCATTAGAAAAATCTTATTTTCGCTGTTATGTAATAGAAATATTAACCAGTTATATATGTAATTCTTGCTCTGTATATTTCTTATGAACAATAACTGTAATTAGCCCTTTTTCTTTTCTCAGATACGATGTTAATACCACTCATTTGTTTCGTGATCATTTCACTTAGTACAATATGCGTAACAGAATCAGATTTGTCACCATTCTGCGCAATAAAAGATCCAGAAGTCCAGTTTGTGAATAATCTAGGTTTCCAGCTGTTGAACCAAATGACTAAGTCAGTGGGAAATGTATTCATATCGCCTCTGGGAGCCTCTTTTGCTCTAGGAATGACTTACTCTGGAGCTGCCAGCAGAACAGCACAAGAGCTTGAGGAAATCTGGAAGGATTCAGATGGACAATTTGCTACTGAAAAGGTATTTTGAAATGGATTTATTAATTAGTATACGAGAATAATATTTATGTTGAACAATTTCTTTTTGATATTTTAAAAATAAATTGGCTATTCCACAAAATTTAAACTAAAATTAAGGGATTTTTCTAGTACTTATACCTCCATAACATTATTTCTAAACATAAAACACTCTTATCTAAACGTTTAAAACGATTTATAAAAGTGAATTTGCATTAGAAAATCAAAAAATCAACTTTTTAATATAAATTTGACATATTTTTTATTATGAAACACAATATATGTTTAAAGTGCTTGTTGTAATAGCATAAGAACAAAATAGAAAAATACCGACGAAAGGTAATACTTCCTAAATATTAATCATTTTGCCTCATCAGAGTTTATCCCTCTTAAATTTCAGATTTTTCATTTTTACTTATTTTACAAAGGGAATCCCATACCTTATTGTTTATTTGGACATTCCATGTTTCGGTTGTTTTATGTGTATGTGAAAGAAACGATACAGACATGCGCTATATTATTAGAAATGATGTGTCTTGAAGAATATTAAAAACGCTTATATCTCCATAGTCATCTGTTATTACTGTGTTTTGTGTAAAATTTATGAAGATGGATGGAAAGCATGCAGTTAGCTGACGACTCCAACCTTTCTAGAAAAAGGGGCTTAATACCAGAAAAGCTGCAGAAAAAAGTGTGTGTAGTAGGAGAGAGTGCAATAAGTTAAAGAAAGGAGCAAATTTTTAGGCGTTTCAGAAACAGCGCTACCAGCTCTGCAGATTTGTCCAGATGAGGTGGATCGGTGGCTGTGCTTTCTAAAGCTGCCCGAGAAAAAGTGGTTCCCCCATAGGAAAATGATACACCAAATCAACAATAGAAAGAAAACACTTGTATTCATGTAGCATAATAAAAAAGTAATAAACAACGTCGGAGCCAAAAGCAGTGTGTTGAATGGAATTGAGCTATTGACTCATTATACCCCTCTTTAGTCATATGGCGCAAGGCTAGGCCGAGATCACAGTTTTGGTTGAAAACACATTGTCTTGTCGAGGGCACAGCTCCTGCGACCATTCCAAAATTTGGATCTCACGAAAAACATTCCAAGCCTCCTTCATCTCAAAGTCCCAGAGCTCTAAAGAGTCTATTGTCCTAAAGAAAAAGAAAAAAATAGGCTAAGAGCTAGAGAACATGGCCGAAGGCCGAACATTGGAATGGCCGAAGAGAAGAATCTCGAAGACTGAGGATTTTATTATTTGTTTCTGTGAAAACGTAAACGACTTGTGCTCCCATGAATAAGATTTTAGGATACACTGCTTGTAGATCGGTGTATGATATAGAAATAATATAATGATGTAACACTATGAAGATACCGTTCCGGTAAGAATAATTATTCATTATCACGGAGTTTCAGCGGAAAAAAGATATTCGTCATTCTAACAATTTAAAACTCCACTGATTGGAAATTGCTCATTCCTTACTTATTTAGCGCAAAATTATAAGAAAGTATGGCTTTCCCCATAGTGTGCGCTGGTGATATAAATGACAATACGTGCGGTTAGCAATGGAAGGATCAAGATTTCAAATCCTAAAGAACGATAATTGATTTTTCAAGTCTCCTTCTCGGAATAGTCTAATAAATTACAAAATTTAAAAAAGAGATTCATTTTAAAATTTGATTTAAATAATTATTGTTTTTAAATGCAAAAATAAATTTAGGTTTTTAAGTAAGCGAGAGTCTTATTTTAAGCTTTTGTGTTAAATTTAATTTTTTTTCATTAATATTACTCGAGGCATTCCATTTCCCTTGCTGCAGCGAAAGTTTCTGATACAAACCCCGGAGAAGGCATGGATGTTTTCGAGTGTATAGTGTCTGTGAAGCAAGGGGGCAATCAAAATACACGGAGAACCAAAATCTTCTCGAGAGGTTGATGGTAGGGAAAAAAGTAGTGAGAGAACCTTGTCCTGCTTCCCTCAGTGTTCGCCCATTGTGGCAGTAGCTTAGCAATTAGCAGAGCTTGCCGATACCTGATATGCGTACAACGATGCACAGGTTCCGGCTTTACTGGCATATAGTACGGACAACCGGCAACCTGTACACATAGTACGGACTGCTGTACCTAGATTTTTGTGCTTTAGCCCATGTGTAATGTAAACGAGAACCAGTTTCTCTTGAAACATCCTCCAAAGAAGCATCCGCCACCATAAGCAAATAACAATATTGTGCTTTTCCGTAATTAAATAAATCAACAAGTCACTTTCTTTCTCATTTTCGACACGTCAGCATGGATTCTAAAATGCTTTACGTTTAGTTATGATGATACTTTTCTTTATTAAACTGACCTACGGTCTTGGGCGGATATAATGCTTGCACATTGTGTAATCAAACTGTGACGAATGGTATAAAGTAAAATATTTTATTATAGTATTACAGCAATTTAGTGATTTATTAATTTCCTAGACACAAAAATAAAATACAAAAGCATTTTGGCATGCTTTTCTAATGACATATGTTTCTCAATTTAGAAAAATTTTAAAATGGAATTAATTAGCAAAAAAGCATGTTCTTAAATGAATAAAACTGTAAAGTAAAATTAAGTAAAATTAAGTGCTACTAAGAATTAAACTGGCAGTTTTATTTCTCAGTATCCTAAAATTTTAATTCTTAACATAAGAAATGAATTGCAATGTATGTATTTCATTTTGCTGAAGTTCCTAAAATTAACATTTGAGCCTAAACAGCTGTATTAATTGTATCTTCACATCAGTCAGTTCAAAATAGTTACTTGAAGAAAAATTGTACAAATAACGCTTTTAGAGAAGTACTTTTCATACGCTAAGTATTTTATCTTCTGAAGTTTTGTCAGAAAAAAAAAAAAAAAATTCGTCTCAGTTAGTGTTCTAGAAAAAGCATGTTTCTACACTATGTAATATCATTAAGTCATTTTATTGCGTTAGATTTATTTTACACAAACTTTGTGTAGAATAATATCATAAGGATATTTATTTTTCAGGTTTATGAAAGACTAGGAAAGTTTTTCACGAGCCCAGATGATAATGAGAAGCAATTCACTCTTTGGAACGGATTTCTATTACAAAATGGATATGAGATGAAAGAAGATTTTGTAAACAAGTTGAAAAACTTTTATTTTGTAGAGCCGAAAATTATAAATTTTATAAACGCTTCTGTAGCAGACGAAATCAATGAATTCTTCAATAAAGAAACAAACGGAAAGTTTGAAGAAATAATAGCTGAAAATGAAACTGTGTCTCACTTGTCCAAAATTCTACTCTTAAATGCTGTTGCACTCAATGAAACCTGGAAAGTACAATTTCCACCCGAAAGGACTAAAAGGGATTATTTTTACTCAGGTCGCAGAGAAACCACAGAAGTAAGAATGATGTCGATGGAAGCAGAATCTTTCAAATTTTATGAGGATCTTGAAATGAAGTATAAATTCTTGGAAATACCGTATAAGGTAAGAACTCCATTTCTCAAATTTTTAAATCAATTTATACTTCTCCATTTGAATTCCGAATTAGGTGATTGTTAAGAATTTAAAAGTAGGGAACCGAATTATTGAAGCACCAGCATTAGAAAATTCTTATTTAATTCTTATGTTTTCATAATGTAATTTTCATAATATTATTCATATGTTTTCATAATATAATGAAAAGTTTGAACTGCTGACCATTTTTGGTTGCTATACAGGTACCTGTATGCTACCGTGTTAGAAAACAATCATTCCGCCATTTCCACAGAGGTTATTAAAACAGAAAATTTTAAGCAGTTGGTATGTTACCTCATAAAACTTCATAACTAAATCCTGGAAAATACATTACGAGCAATATGTTTTAAATTAGAAATATATCTCTTTTTACTGTGACTATATGTTAAAAGTCAAAATATCAGAAATCTCATCTTGCTTCGATTTTCTAGGTAAAATAAGAGAAGATGATATTAACACAATAACAGTTCTAAGTATGCTATGGTAACAATGAAATCTAAGATTTCAAAGTGTTTCAGTATTTATGAACAGAATGCAATAAATTTTAAAATAAAAAGGGAAAAAAATCTGACAGCTTTCTGAGTTTCGTGTATTAAATTTTATTTATTAAATATCATATTCTTCGCACTTAAACCATAAAATTCAATTCAACAGCAATATCGCAAAATAATTTTAAAATGAGCATATCTTTAGAATTTCCGATACACAGTCTCGCGCGCTGGAGATAAAAATGTTTCTTTTTTCATACACTGTTGCCATTGCTGGCTTTGAAATCGTTGAGTTTTGTTAATGAAGTTTTACAAAATATGAAATAGATCATAAAACAAATTCCGAATTTCAAATTTGGGCTTCCAGATGACCATATTCAAGTGGAGGACTAAGTTATTCAACATTTGATGTCTCTAGGTTCCGTTGTTTATTCACAGTGCGAGAAACATACATACATTCATGCAGATTCTTCATTATTTAATTTCTTTAAATATAATGCAGGGCTCTAATATTTGGTGGCAACAATTTGAACAGTGAACCAACATTTATAGTTAACCCACCCAAAATGCCAAAACGAAATTAATAGCCCTTGTGGGCAAATTGCCCCTTTGGGCTAAAAAGAATGGAGACATGTTTGATAATTCGAGGAAAGAAGAATTAATTAGCTCGGAGATAACCAGAGTGATTCGAATTAAAGTTATCCTATTCAAATTTCACTTTAACTCTAACTAATAAGCCGAAAGGAAAAGCAGTTTCAGCATATATTAATCAGAGTGGGGAAGGAGATTCTAAGAGAAAGTTAGCTACCGAAATAAGGAACATAAATAAGAGGAAACAAGAGGAACGTAACAAAAGAAAACACACGAGAAAAGAGAATAAATAATTGATAGAAACCACAAATGAAACGTTAAATACATGTTTTCTTACTTTGCAAACAAAAGAAACATCAGGGGCAATTTAAAAAAAAAAAATATTTTTTTAAAGCAGCGAAAAGAAGCATTTCAACAACAAGCAAGCGTTCTGTATGTAAAAGCCGTTTTGTCGGTAAAATGAGCTGCGGTAGCTATCACCCTGTTGAAAACCGCTTTACTTATAAAGTTATTTTCCGAAAATCAAAGCAGTATTATGGCTGCTGTTCACCAGTTTTGCTATTAAGCAATAATACTTCCACGTTCCACTATACTTCCACGCAAACTCCTCTGTTGGTTCCACGTGTTAAAAATTAAAATTCAGAATAATTTTTTAACAGCATCTGGATGACAAATCTAACAATTTAAAATGATTAATAATGCTTTTTATTTATTTGTTACCTTACATAATAGAAAACAGATATTTTTATGAGTAAAATTATAATGGAACAATAATTTTCTTTTGATTTTCCGCATCAACGGTATACAAAATTAACATATTTTCAATACCTTTTTAGCATTTATTATACTGAAAACAGTAGGAGAGGCCATCAAGGCAAAACTGTTTTGCAGAGGTTTCACGAAAAAATTATAGTTTTAAAGCTTCTCTTAATCAGCAAAGTTCGAAGATCGTTAATTTACACCAAGTTACGATGTATTCATAAATAGTCAAAGGAATCATTACTAGGCTCAAGCTCACTGAAAGTGCGAATGTTCAGCCCGGGTCAAGACTGTCAGGTCTGTCATTTCCCACATATCGAAGATGTTCTGCATATTTTGAAGTTCAATAGACAATGATTAATATTTCGGCCTCAAGCAAAGAAATTGCAACATCAGACAGCTGGATATATCCTATGAATCAGTGTGGAAATCACTAACAAAAGTGGTGCATAATTATCTATGCAATGTTAGCCGCAACCAGCAGTTTTTTTCTTTTTCCCTTTTTTTTTTTTTTTTTTTTTGGTGACAAGGAACACCACTGGATTGCAAAAACCTTACACTGACCTTTCTTGTCGTAATAGAAGTTATCAGGTTCAATGTTCCTTCTAACCTTCTTCGGGAACATACAAGGACCTGACTAGGAACAGAGAGCTTACTAAAGCTATATTCACTAATTGTAGTAAGTAGACAGGATACAGACGAAGGGTATACAAAACCCTTTATTTTTCTCTATATACAATGACTTCCGTACTTCGGAATACACTGACCCTCCACTCGGGGTCTAACGTAAAGAAGTATAAAAATAAAACTAAACTCTAATTTAACTTTAGAATAATACACGTGGAAGATTGGCCTTATAATAACAGGAAGCGTATGTAGCACAGAGACTGTGAACACTACAATACGTTTAATTTATCAAGAGGATTAAAACCTCTGGCCTGGAAGGCAAATAGCAACTGCGTAACTTCTAAGGTAAGCGGCCTGCTTCGAACTCACTGCTTCCTCTCTCTTTCGCTTGGCAAAAAGCCACAACTTAAGTACTTGGCGTTCGCCAGACAACTTTGCATAAAAACCTTCACGCTTATAATTCTGGCCGGAAGTAGAAAATAAGAAGTGATAGTAAAGATTTAAAATAAAATAAACGTTAGTAAAACTTAAGATCCTTACATACTTCCCGCCAGAGTTAATTAGTTTGAAACTGAGGTCTAAAACGACCTTGTTGAAAACTTTTAGCTCTAGAATCTAACGCGAGGCCAACCTTTTACAATCATAACTTCGTTAGAAACTAGAAAATTTAAAAGAAAGAAATTTGTTACAATAGCAGCTCCCAGGATATACAACAATCTTTTTTTTTTTTTTTTTTTTCATCTGTACTGCATCTAACCAGGAGCTTTTATTCAATTCTGGTTCCTTCCAGAGATCTGGAAGGAAAACTAGTTTAATGAAATGTTACACAATGACATGGCAAGTAACATATACCATTATACTGCTCTTAACATTCTTATTTCATTCATGACTATTTTAATTATCTCTCTCTCTCTCCCCGTGCTCTCTGACATGTGTTGTAAAAGAACACCAAACTTCTGTCTACGTGTGCCACACTTCCTCCTACAATCAAAACACTAACGTGTTAAAATTCAACATAACGAGACCTCTTAACACACCCTAATTTCAACTCTAAACCCTGAGGTACTACTCTAAAAGTGGCTAACTCTAAAGTGTAGCGTCAGAGAGCCTAACTACATCATTCAACCTTTACCACATATTCGTCATGATTTAATCTTTACAGTCACACGAATAACAAATTTTTAACATTACTTTACTACTTTCACGTTTACCATATCACGGTATTTCTTAACATTTAAAATAACAGTTCACATGTATATAAGAACATATCAACATGGCGTTAATTTTACACATTTGAAAACATACATTAGTAGTACATTGTTAACTTCTATTCTTTTCAAAGCAAGTGCCAATTCTTTCTACATTGAAATAATACTACATTTCAAAAGTCTTTCAGACTAAAACTTCTTCTCTTGCTAGAATGTTTTAAATAAAATTTATACAATAACTTTTTTACAAATTTAAGTTTTTACACAACGCTATTATACATCAACTTTAGTTTTACGCGCGAGTAATTTAAAAAACATAATACGAAAAATCGGTCACAACTCATTTCTCGCCCTTTTGGCGATAAAGGTAGACCTCGCATGAGGTAAAACTTCTTGAAATCTGCCACTTGCAGTAAGAATGAAAGATTAACTTAAGTTTGCAAAGTAACATAAAATTTTACTTATCTTTGTAATATTCGGACATCCTTTTCCGGCCCAGTCTTTAAAGGTACTGCAGACATTAGCCTGGTTTATCCTCCTTCTTGTACGGGCTCGCCCTTCAGAGCTTTCCTCTGGAAGCTTCCGTTTTTCACCAGTACGGCCACCCTTGAATACTTTCCTTTTCTCCTCTGTTTGTGGTCTTGGCCGTTTAAAGGCAGCTGGTCTTGGTGGAACCGGGAAACTTCTGTCGTGATCCTGCTTGGACCTCGTTGTTGGCCGTTCAATCAAATTTTTCTTGTACTTTTTCCTCCCGCGCTGATGGCCCTTCCGCAGTTCGGCGACTTTTGCTGCGGAGAGTTCTGTCGGATGAGTCAATCTTCCGTTTTAAAGCCGGGTTATAGTTGCCGTCATTTCTCCTGGTCCTCTTCACATACGTCGTCCCTTCTCCCTTCTTCATTCTGGGGGTGTTCGTGAACTCTGTTTTTCTGGACGGTGGAACGGCTTCTTTTTCTTTTTACCTTCAATTTTTCCGCGGGGGCAATTTTCTTTTCACTTGCTTGCTTCTGTCTCTCATTGGCCTGCCCTTGTACTTGTCGTTTTTTCCCCCCACCTCTGGAACTTGTACCTGCGGTGTCTGCCGTGCCGGATCCTGCAAAAGATCTGAAAAGATTTGCATTTTATTACGATCGAAGTAGGGCTTTTAATTTGATCAATATTTGCGGACAGGTTTCACCATTTCTGGCCTTTAACACTACAACAGCGTGAGTTATTTTTTCTATAACATATGGTCCTTCAAATCGTGGAAAAAAATTTGGCAGTTTTATCTTCTGGTGCTGAAGAAAGTGAATGCTTAATT